AATCACTCGGTTGAACTGCCACGCCTACTGTGGGTTCAGGGTCCAGACCATCGGACAGAGAGTTTTAAACACAATCCAGCTGATGCTCATAATGCTCGCCCCGCGGGCTGCCTAAATCTGTCCAATCACTCGGTTCAACTGCCACGCCTGCTGTGGGTTCAGGGTCCAGACCATCGGACAGAGAGTTTTAAGTACAATCCAGCTGATGCTCATGATGCTCGCCCCGCGGGCTCCCTAAATCTGTCCAATCACTCGGTTGAACTGCCACGCCTGCTGTGGGTTCAAGGGATGCTCATGATGCTAGACCAAGCTCCCAACCACTTACAGGTTTCTCAAAGTTCGCGATCCGCGTTTGGGTCCTCATGCTAAGGACGCTAAGAGCATAAAGCGCAGGAAGCAGCAGAAGCGACACCTCCTAATGAAGCTCAAGCCAGCCCCATCATGGGAAGCAAGCTCAGCCCCAGAACATTTCAATCCAAGATCGACAGCTACATCCACCGCATCGGCCGATGTGGCCGGGCCGGTCGCGAAGGTACCGCCATTACATTCGCCGGCAGCCCATGCATGGCGCTAGTGTTGTCTTGTAGTTTTGGTCAATTGGGTCTAACCTGTCGAAGACACCCTAGCTGCTAAGAAACATGCTTTCGTGTTGACAGTATCAAGCCAAACACAACGGGCAAGCCGGATATAACAGACTTTGAGGGCACGTCGCACTCAGATCCCGTTGCTTTTTTTGAAATACACTGCATGTTGTAATGTAAGCCTTTGTCATGTACTGGCAAGGTGCAGCATGCAATGTCGCATGAGCTCCAGGTGTGTGTGTGTGTGTGAGAGATTTACTGTCGTGTAGTGTGGAGTTTACCTGTAGTTGCATGATGGGTGCTTCGTCTTACATGCCAGAAGACCCGCTTAGATTTGTTTCAGTCGTACTTGCTCTGGTATCCGCTAGTAGTATACCGTGATGCGGGACTGCTTGCGCGATCCACTGCACCTACCGCAGTTGCATGTCACCCTCGTGCGAACCATGGAAAGTATGAGGCCTTTGGAACTTCATCTTCCTTCGAGGCCCAAAGAGCCCGAAATAGCTATGAGGTCACGGATGGTGACGAGCGCTTAGCGGGAGCCTTGCTCAAGCTTCTCCAGGAGGCATGGCTGATAAGAAGCTTACATACATCTTTGTTGAAACGGCCTGGTGGCGGTGGAGGGAAGAAACTGATGCCGGACGCAGATTCAATGACGGGCTGCGTCCGGTCGGGTGTTTTGGCTTGAAACTTGAGACTTTACCTTCCCAGCCTTGTTTGCTATGAAAGCACGACATTTATTGGAGCCGAGCCCAACCTATCTCTCGGTGCTTGTTGAAGCCGTGTGTGGAAGGGATTCATCCTAACGACCATCATCACCCCCTAAGGCCTTTTGCATCATCATCATCATCATTATCATCATCGTCGTTACCGGTGTCATTAGCATCAACCCCAGCATCATCATCACCGTCATCATCACCATAACCACCAGCATCATCATCATTATCACCATCATCATCACCATCGCCATCATCATCATCATCATCATCTGGATCCCTTTTCCGTGTTGCTGTGCGGTGTGTTTGTTCCACTTGGTGTCCTGGCAAATGGCTAGTGTGAGTGATATTACTTGCACCGCCACTTGAATTACAACTCTGGCCACTACTACTTCCACCAGACAGTGGCTGCGACGACTACCACCGCTGCTACTGCGACGACCACGACGACGACTGCTGCTGCTGACACTGCTACTGCTATTGCTACTTCTACGAGATGTGTCATGATGAAGGGCAATTACAGTATTCAAAATACTGCTGGTTGCCATCAACGCCTCCTGAGCGCATTCCCAGCTGGTCCCTGTCTCCCCAGACATCTAGCTCTTGCTGACCTCTTATCATCTTCGGCCCTGTCTGTGTGGAGAGGCGCGCCAGAGCATCCCGCCAGGACCTTGGAGTTTCGACTTGGGAGCTCTTAGGTTGCCGAAGCTCGGGAGTTCTGCTTCGGGGCCTTAATAATTAGAATAGGGTGTTGGGATCCTTTACAGTATAATTATAATACGGAACCCCCCAAAATAGTAGAATGTTGGATTTGGGGTTTACGGCTTACGCTTTAACTGAAACCTTGAAACCCAGATGTTGAACTTGGCTGAGGCCAGGCTTGTCAGAGATGGCGAAAGAGTTTGCCAATAGCCACCGGCTTAGCAAAGAGCTGCGGTACATGGGATCATGGGAGTTTCAGCAAGTCAGGGATTCTTAAAGACCCTGGATGGAAGCCGGGATCCTTATTTTTGAGGACCCCTCAATAAGGTGCCGGATTGTCCGAGTGTGAGCTTCGAAATAAGGTGCCAAGAATTGTCCCAAGACCCCGCTTGCAGACCTCGTGGCTCAACCTGGCAGTCCAATGCTCTCCCTGTGGACTCCAGGGATTTTTGAAGATCGACAGGGTCTTGTTTCAAAATCCTCTTTAGTGGAGGGTGGGCTATGCTCTGAACGCCGCATTTGGTATCCTTTCCCGTGCCTCAGTTCTCATCGTTGTGGCTGATCGTGTAGGTACTACGTTAATGTGCGCTGGTGGAGCAAGAACGCAACCATGAACGCGAGCCACTCTGGCCAACTCTTGACGGAGCCTTCTTGACAACCGTGGGATGATCATCAGATGTTGGGGAATGTGGGATTGTGCGGTACAACATTCTAAGTTCGAGATCCGAAACCGACATACCCTGCAATGTAGCAAAGTCTCCGCTCCAGAGCTTCCTGAGATCTTGTTCTCCGGATTACCAAATTTGCAAGGTTTAGGGCTGAGGGTTGTAGCCGAGAAGCAATGACTTCCTCCCCGGACTATCACCTTGTTCTTACCCTAAACCACCCAATGAGTCATCTGCACCCAGGTAGCTCGAGCAGACTCGCAGTGAAGCACAGCCAGGTAGGGCTCGTGGTGTGCGCTTTTTGTCGGTGTTCTTCGGGTTCTCCTTATTTCAGGATGACAGAACCGGGCCACAGCACTTACATTTAGGAAGGCGGAGATACAACTTGCAAGGACGCATGTGCTACAAAGCTTGCTACCAGCAGGTCCAGCAATAGGGAAGCCTGAATATTTAGTAAACATATAGCCTTCTAAACACTGCAATTTTTACAAGGTACTATGCCTCCCAAAACCCAAAACCCTATCCCTGTGATCCCTTTACGATTTTGGAGTCATGGTCCCATTCGTATGATTTGATGCTCCGAGTCTGTCTGCAATAAGTCCTCGGTCGTCATAATCCGTTGATGCAGCTCGTGTTGCTTTCACTTTGCTCGCGAGAGCCTTTGGCCCGCATCACCCCAAACCCTATCCTAATTCTTAAGGCCCCTATTTCACCTGAAATAGCAGACCAGAGCCACGAGACCCGAAGCATTTCCAGCTGTTTTCGGCATGCGTGGGCCTTTCTGTAGCTTGTGCGAAGCCACTTGCAACAGCTGGTGTCTCTTCGGTGTGTTCTGACGGACCAAAACTTTTGCATGGGATGGTTCCAGGTAGAACAAGTTCAGGAGTTCCTCTGCAAGCCCGGGCTCAGACATTAACCCGACTTCAAGCACCTAAACATTCGCTCAACACATCCGCGCACGGCATCCTCCACAAGCTGTCTACTGTAGAGCTGAGAGTCTTTGCGGATTCGGCACCGTGCTACTTGTCGCAGGGGGGTTTGTCGTGTTGCGAGCCATCTGAACTCCATGGATCATCAGAATTTTTAACCCAGTTCGAAGCCAGGGTTGAAATTAGCACATGCATATGTATGTGTATATACATATATATTACATATATATATATACACATAGGGAGAGAGGCTGCGTCAATTTTCTTTTTGTATAGATGTTGAAAGCCCGCCAACAAGCCGAGAGAACACTAGCTTGCTTCACCGAAGCTCGGCAGTTGAAAGAGGTGGGTGGTTTGTGTCAAGGTGGCAAACACCTTGAGAGGGCTTTTCTCTGGGAGTTTGTCCATGCTTTGGCAGCACACCCAGAATGCTTTACGTGCATTCCAGCAGATGGCACATCGCCGTGCACACTTCGCAAACAAAGGCCAAGGCCGCAGACCCCCAAATTGCAAACTTGCAGATGAAGTTGTTTGTGATTGCTCTCGTGAAGCTGCAAGGCCGGTGGCGAAGTGAAGCTCGTGCGTGCAGGGAAGGTACCGCAAGCTCACTCGGGGCTTAACGGATTTCTTTGGATGACTTGCTGCATATTTCAATCGACGCTGTTTTGCTGATAAGTGTGAGTTTTGTCATGTATAGGCTGAGGAATGCTTCAGTGCTGCTCGAGGCTGAAGATGGCTGAAGCAATCTGTGGTGTCATCCCAGGATACTGGGATAATACGCTTGCCAAGCTGGTTCTCAGCATATGTTTGTGCGTAAGAATGCCTTCCTGTCTGTCTGCATGTATGCAGCATGTCTGTGTGTATGTATGTGTATGTGCGTACGTCTGTATGCATGTATACATATAGATATATGCGTTTGTGTGTGTGTATGTATGTATGTACGTACGTACGTACGTACGTACGTACGTATGTATGTATGTATGTATGTATGTATGTATGGCTGTATGTCTGTATGTCTGCATGTCTGTATGTCTGTATGTCTGTCTGTATGTCTATATGTCGGTCTGTTTGTCTGTCTGTCTGTCTGTATGTATGTATGTTTGCTTGTATGTGTGTATGTACGTATGTATGATTATGTATGTATGTATGTATGCATG